TCCTTCTGCCCCTCACCCTGCTCGTGCTCTCTCTCTCTCTCTCTCAAATAAATAAATAAATAAATAAATAAATAAATAAATAAATCTTTTAAAAAAATCTGAACTGTAATAGTAAATATGGTGCTTTCCCGAGTTTTGTGAGTTGTTCTAACAAATTGTCAAATCTGGGAACCCTCCAGATTTGTACCCAGTTTGTCAGAAGTGTAGGTGGTATAGGAAGCCCTGAACTTGTACCTGGAACTTAAAGTGAGGGCATTCTTGTTGGGCACAGTGCCCTTGACCTGTGGGGTCTGATGTTAACTCCGGATGGTTAGCATTAGAACTATACTGCAATATACATAAAGGTATTGCCTGTTACAGTCTAGAATGCTCTGTTTTTTTTAGCAGCTAAAGCTCTGGTAAAAAGTGGGGTTACACTAACTAAAGACTTCTAAAATCCTCAGCCTTGGTGATCCATTTTTTGTAGGAACCTTGGACATCCTAAGGGAGGTAGCTATTCAATAGCCCTCAGATCTGTGTCAAAACTCAGAGTAGTAGAGTTGCATTGGTAGATGTACTACAGAGAACTAGCACCGGAATTCAGTTCAATTGGATCGAATGCAAACATTTACCATGCACTATGATGTACCTGGCATGATTAAGCAATGTGAAAAGACAAATGTGGTGATACAAAGAACTAACTCGCTGCTTCCAAAGAGTTTACAATGAAGTAGGAAAAATAAATACACATGTAATTAATATAATAGAACTTAGAAATTACCTTTAGTACTCATGTGAATGCATTTGAAAGGGGCTAGAAGCTATTGATTTTGCCCCAGAGTCAGGGACAGGGAAAACTTAACAGAGAAGGTGACATTTGGTTGGGCCTTGAATGATTAGGTATTCACCGGACAGAGAAAGGCATCCTGGGGAGAAAGAATAGCTGAGCGAAGACACAGGTTGGAAAAGGACAGAGAGGTAGTGTGTCTAGAGGTGGAGTGTGTGATGGGGACAGATGAAGCATGAATCAAAGTACGAAGGGAAAAAAAGTATGATGGAAACAGTTGGAAGGAGTCAGTTGTTTTAGAACCTCTTGCAGGACTGAGCCGATTATTAATAGTACCTAGCATAGTGTTTGGAACATGGTAGGAGCTTTATATTTGTTGAATGAGTGCATGAATGAATGGATGAGTGAATAAAAGAAAAAAAAGGCAAGGCAAACAGTTATGCAGATTTCTCACCAGCGGTTCTCCCTGACCACCTGATCATCATGGGAGGAACAAAGAGGCCCCTCGTTCTAACTCCGATTCTATAGGAGAGAGGGTCCAACTGATTGCTGACATCCTTTAATTTTGCTTCTCTGAGTCTTCTTTCTTTTTAGGATTTGAGAGCTCTTGTATCCAAATTTCCTAGGTTGACTTGTAAGAGGACAGAGCCCATAGGAAGGAGGCATCCTCCAAGTTCACACAGCTCATAGGTGGCTGAGCTGGACCCAGAGCTCAGGTTTCTGTTGCTCTTTCTGCTATTTCTATCTGCCTCACACAGGCTTTCAGCCCTGCCCCTCTACCTGTGTGATCTTTTGTGGCTCTTTTCCCATTTCCTGCAGAAATCATTCTAAACTCTCACTATCCTCCTCAAGTCCCCCACTCAGCGATCACCCAGCTCAGTTTCAGCAAGCAACATCGTCTGCCACTTAGGTCGTTGAGAACGTAGATGCTGTAATGATCCTCTCCAGCTTCCTGCCCATCTACACGCCTACCCATGGCCAAAGCCATTTGCACTTCATTTCTCCTCATTTCAGAGGGTAAGTTTGCCTTCTCCTCTGTGTCCTCGACCCCACTCTTGACTCCATCCTTTCAACATCAACTCCAGGAACTTACTCTCTATGTTTTCCTTTAGCCTAGAAATGTGCTCACATTTCTCTCACACTCAAAAATATTTCATCTTAGATCCTATTTCCTTTTCTACTTACCCTCAAACTCTCTTCTCTTCTCATCCAAACGTCTTTAAAAATAGTCTGTACTTGGTGTACCAAGTATTAATCACCCGCCCTCACCTTCTACACATTTCTATTCGGTTTCCACTCATACTACCCCATTGAAAGTGTTATAAATCATCCATGGCCTTTATTTTGCCAAATCCCACAGGCTTAAACTTTTAAACATATTCTTCTATCAGCAGGACATCTCTATAATATTTCATTATTGGTGATTCTTTCCTTCTGGAAGCTCTCTACTCCCTTGGTTTCTATGGTATTGCACTCATCTGATTATCCCAGCTCTTTGATCGTCCTCTTATCTCTTTTCTGAGATGTTTTCCTCTAACTACCCTTTAAAGGTTAACATCCTCTCAGTTCCATCCTCAGCCCCTCTTCCTCACATCTCACGTAGTACTTGTATGATTTCAACAACTTTCGTGGTTTTAGCTTCCCCCAGTGTGTGGAGAACCATCTCTAGTCCAGATTCCGGGCATTGACACGGTTCATCCACTTCCTGTTGCTTATTTCCAACAGAATATTCATATAGGCGTCCTATATTGCACCTTTTACTCAGTCTGGTGACACTGAAGCTTATTTCTCCAATTAGACTATAAGCTCACTAGGGCAGAAGCTTTTTATTCATCCTTCTATCTTCCTAGCCTATCATGTAATAGGATCTCACTCATATTTGTTGATCAGTTGACCAACTGACCAACTGAGTGAGTGAATGCCTTATAGGTCTCCTCCTAACTCCAGCTCTGAGTTAAGGAACACATATTTTCTCTTTTCAGGTTCCTGGCCTGTGTCCCTTTGGGCTACAAGCAACCTAAGATGGCGGCATCCGGGTCCTCCCTCTAGCCAGTAAAGTCCTTTGATTTCATTTCTTAAGAGACAAGGACCCCAGCTCTCCCATGGGACATTGCTTCTCTCTAACAGAGAACAATAAGAGGCTTCATTTTTGCCCTTCCTTCTCAGAATTCTAGTGCGACAGCTGAGGTAGGCTTGAGGTTAGAGATCCCAATAGCCTTCCTCTCCCTGTAATGATCTCTTCCCCTGAGCCTTTCTCCGGACTGCCAGAACCCCGTACCTTGAAGAAGAGTGACAGCCAAGATGAGGCCAGCCAGATACTTCCCCAGCTCCATGTCAGTCTCTGCCTTTCCTCCCGAAGAAGCACTAAGCAACTCCCAGCAGCCAGCTTGCCTTAGAGCAGCTAGTCTGGCCCCGCCCAGCATCATTCAGGCTGGGGCCCCTGAGAGAAGGCACGAATCCGGAGCCACCACCCTCTACTTCAAATGTGGGCAGCGAGGGGCCTCAGCGAGGCTGCAGGTGCATATGTATCTTGCTTTCTGTGAAGGAGTAGAGAATGGAAGGTGGTGGGAGGGAAAGGCAGAGAGTGATGGATCCCCATCTCAGAGACAGCTTGCACAGAAAAACCCCTTGGGTTCTGGGTAGGAGATGGCTTGGGCCCATTTCCTCATGAGAGGGGTAAACATCTCTGCCACCGCTGGTTGCTAGGACGTCAGCTGGTTGTTGCTTCTTGCTAGAACTAATGAATTTAAGTGAGAACACTCATGTGTGCAAGGCTGAAGCTCTGAGCAGAAAACCACCACAGTCCAGGCCCTTGTTCAGGAATTTTTCACTGCTCTTTTGAGACAAGATCATCAAAAAGGTGCCTGCCTGGACAAGAATAGGCAGGACAATTGCAATGAGATAAGCCCTACATTTCCAGGGGCCAGAGCCTGAGCTGAGTTTCCAGGATCTTAGGCCCCTGTCTTCCTCAGCCAGTCCATCAGTGAGTCAACAAAAGTCTGCAGACCTCTCGTTACGTGCCAGGCACAAGCCAGGTGGTGGAGCTACAGAAGGCAGCCAGACATATGCTATCTCTGCCCTCAGGTAAATTACAGTCCAACTCCAGGGGTGTACAGAGTTTGGATCCCCATAGGCCACAGGGGAGAAAAGTCCACTTGTCTCCTGGGGAGGCTCAATCATACTCTGCCTGTGAGTCAATCATACTGTTATTAATAACTATCTCTTATTGAGCAAATGTGATATATCTCACGTACCAGGCAAACTTTTTGTCCGAATCCTTATTGGGATACTGAGGAAATTAGGCTCTGAAAAATTCCATAACTGGCCCAGGGCCAGTGGGTAGGCAGTATTGGAGCTGGGATTCAAATGTCTGGTTTGGGAGGCTCCAAAGCCCAACCTCTCACTGGTAAGAAGCTACTTAGTCTGGTGTCCAGGCTGCCCAAGGAGGACCTTGGGCAGGGTCCCAAGAAAGACCAGAAATGGGAGGAACCTTGCTGGTATGGCTTATGGGATGGGGCTCACACTTTCTCTCAAGGGTTTTGAGAGCTGGCAGTTTTCAGGGGGTGACTAAATGTAGTTACACTGTTGACAAAAACTCTGAAATTACTGGTTTTCATCTGTGACTCGGGAAAGAACATCCTAAATCTTCTTTTACTTCCTAGAGGTCTAGGCAATCTTTTCCACATTCTCTGCTCTCTCTTCCACCTGATCCCCAAGCTCAGTGCTCGGAGAAAGAGCAATTTGCACCTGCTTCCTTCCTACCCCACCCCCAGTCTACCCCTACCCTAACAGTCTCCCATGATCAACGGCAGAGAGCAGAGAAATAGGCGTCTTCTGGTTCCTCCCCGCCCCTTTACTTTTTCCGGGTACCCGTGAGTCAGTTGGGGGAGGGCATCTCTCACCCTGGCTGATAGTTCTGGGACCTGGGTCTACCTACTGAAGGAATTCTGCTGGAAAATGGAACACTGTAGGTTTCTGGCTGGTGTGATACTGGCTGTCCTTCTCTCCCAAGGTAAGGCTTCTCCAGGTGGTGGGGGCATCTTGGAGAAGGGACCTGAGAGGGACATTAGCACCTGGACTGAGCCCCACTTGAAAGTCCTTCTCAATGCTAGCTTTACTTCACCAGGCAGAGTTGTCAAGGAGGGCAGGGTTGGGATGTAGCACAGGGTTTGGGCTTGGGAAACAGGTTCTTGGCTTTGACTGAGTCCAGCTAGGTGAACATGTTGGCCTTGAATGTCTCTCTAAAGGCCTTAGGCCAGAGATCTGCAGGAAATGTGCAGTCTGCGGGGGCCTGAGCCTAGGGCTGGTAAGGGAGCACTATTCCTTCTAAGACAGAGAGTCTCTGGGATCTAGGACTCTTAGTCATTTGGCCATCATTTGTCACCACCAGGAGCCATGGCCCAGTACTCAGGGGGATGTTTTAAGAGAAAATTAACTTTAGGTGGAGAAGGAAGGAGGGTAGATCTGGAGTGGTAGGATGATCAACTCATCTTGGTTTGCCTGGTGTTAAAACTGATAGTGCTTTGTCCCAGAAACCCCTCAATCTCAGGCAAACTGGGATAAATGCTTTGGGATATTCAGGATTTCCAATGGAAAGAGATCCCCATGGAAAGCGTGGCTGTAGGATGTGAAGCATCTGATGTACATGTATCTTCCTGAGATATACTCATATAATCTTGGCCTGCTTGAGACACATGAGAAACAGCTCTTTTGGGGATTTTCCAGAGGATGTTCTTGTATTCAAATTGGTAACTGAATATGAATTCAGGGAAAATCTGGATTCCACTTTTCCCTGGGATTGGAGACACAGATCCCCTCTGTGGGCTATGGAGATGCTCTCAGTCAAAAAAATCCAGTGGATCTAGAGAGGTGCTGTGCATACCTCCAGCCCTTAAGCTCCCTATAAGTCTTGACTTGTATGGAGCCCCAAGAATGAATTTGATAAAAAAATTTTTTCTACCTCCCTCCCCTTAAGCAAGGGTAGAACAACTAAAAATCTTTACATGAGATTTGCCCTGGGTCTCCTTCTGGAATAATTCATACCAGCTTCTCTCCTACTCCAACCATCACCGGTCCCGGGAAAGACTTTAGTAGTGAGAGTCCCATTCTCTTGGTAGTTGGGGCAGGGGCAAAGAGGGAGGGAAAAGGGTGAGAAGTTGAAGTGGGAGGGTTGTAGATGGCTGGGAAGTAGAATTAGAAGTTTTGTTGGAGGGGCACCTGGGTGGCTTAGTCAGTTCAACGTCTGCCTTCGGCTCAGGTCATGATCTCAGGGTAAAGGGATTGAGCTCCTCGTGGAACCCCTCGTCGAGCCCCTCCTTGGGCTCCCTGCTCAGCAGGGAGGCTGCTTCTCCCTCTGCCCCTCCCCTCCCCCCCTGCTCCTTTTCTCTCTGTCTCAAATAAATAAATAAAATCTTAAAAAAAAATAGTTTTGTTGGAGAACAAATGTGGCCATCTCCAACCAAGGAACGTTCTTCTGCCTTTCCATATCTCTTGGGTGCTTCAGCAGTCTACACTCCCCTTCTACTTCTAATCAGTGGTCTGAACTCATTTCCAGGAAGGTTCTTGGATCCGCCCGGCTCTACGATTTCCTCTTTTGCTCCATGTCCATCAGGGTCTGTGCTCTGCTCGGACTGAATCCTTGCATCCTTCCTGGCCCTGGCAGTTCATGGGGAGCCTCCCAAAGCCTTTTTCTTGTGACTTCTGTCTCTCTCACTAAACCATAAATTGTCCTAGACTTAGAAAGTGGTCCTTTTTAAGTATAAACCTCAGCAGCATAAGGCATCTGCTGCAGACCAAACAGCTGGCTGCAATCATGGTTGGGTTTTGTTGTTTGCCCTGTAGTGAGCCCCTACAACATAATCGTGGAGGAACTTGAGGACAAGGTGTTCCTGAATTGCAATACCAGTATCATTCTGGTAGAGGGAATGAAGGGAACACCATTCCCACATGATAAAATGTGGAACTTGGGAAAACGCATCCTGGACCCACGAGGAGTGTATCGGTGCAAGGGGACAGATGAACAAGACGACAAAACACCTTATACGCAAGTATATTATCGAAGTATGTGCCTTCTGGACCCTTTGGGTTGAAATGAATGGGACCTCTGGATATGAGAACCTTATAGCCAGAGGGGACTGTGGTGGACCAACCTGTTCTCTAAACAAAGTGGGGGTCACTCTTGTAATGGGAAGAGCCAGACTTTGGAGCTTAACTAATGGAAAAAACAGCAGGGGCCTTATGACTCAAGCAGTAGAGCCTTGGTTGGGAGAGTGGCTTGGCCTTGCTGCCTTGTCTACATTCTTACAAAGCTGATACTGCTTCTTGACTCTTCTCAGGGATTCCTTGGGATTAAGGGCAGAGGGGAATGTAGCCAGGGCATCAGCAGGCCTTTCTCCAGGTATCTTACTGCAGTTTAGGTCTTGGTGTGAGGTCCTGGGGTTGCCCTAGGAGGCAGAGATGGTTGCTGGTCTTGAAGGCTCTCCAGCTCTCCTCTGGCCTCTCTTCCCCTCAGTGTGTCAGAACTGTGTGGAGCTGGACTCAGCCACCCTGGCTGGTATCATCATCACTGACATAATCGCCACTCTGCTCCTTGCTTTGGGAGTTTATTGCTTTGCTGGACATGAGACTGGAAGGCTCTCTAAGGGTAAGTGGACGGGACAGAGTGTGTGTGCATGTGTGCATGCACATGTATGTTGTGGGGGTGGGTATGAGTGTGCACCTGCTAAGACCGGGGCTGGCAGTGGGTTGTGTCTCATGTGGGAGTCACTCTCACATCTCCTAAGGACTCCTAAAACTGGTTATTGGAAGACTTGTGCCCATATTGCCCATGCAGACTTCTGAGGGTACAACAAGCTGTAGTCCTCCTGCAGTGGTCATGGGGTCTCAATGTCCCATCCTCCTAGGCCCTTGATGACTCTTTCCCCCTGTTTCTTCTAGCTGCTGACTCTCAAGTTCTGTTGGAAAATGACCAGCTCTATCAGGTGAGCCCTAAAGGGAAAGAGACATGAATGGGAGGGGGTGAAGAGCCTGACGCTAGGTGTTATGTGTACGGATGAATGGTCCTAGTGGGGAACTCATCACTGGCGGGGCTGGAAAACTCAGGCATGGGCTCTCATCTCTGGGGCCTACTGGGGTCTTCCCTGGAGAAACTGACCCTGCCTCACTGTTCCCTCTCACCTCCTAGCCCCTTCGAGATCGGAATGATGCTCAGTATAGTCATCTTGGTGAAAACTGGCCTCGGAAGAAGTGAACCTGAGACCGGTGGTTTATGGGAGTATCGACTGTACCTTCTTCCCTTGCTCAGCCAATAAAGATGTCTTCTTCCACTCAGCAGGTGCCTGGACTTTTCAAGGCTCTCGGGCAAGGCATGGGAGTTGTT